AACGCTATGGTTAGTTATTTGTCTTAGCTTTGTCGGGCACAAGGCTCCTTTAAAAGGGGGCCAGGTCAAAAGCCAGAGAACGGGACGAGCTTGCAAACCATTGGTTTGCAGCCGGCATCTTCAATTATGTATGTTTGTATGTATGTATCGGCTATCTGTGTGTATTAGTAAAACGTTAAAGTCTTCGCGTGTTTTTTTTGTTTTTTGTTTTTTTTCTGTCTGACTACCGATTTTAACGGCGTCGTCCATCAAGCAAATGATTCGATTCGTTCGTTGAATGTAATTTCGTTTCTGACCATCTATAAACTGGCCGACGTCCGTGGCATTTTCAAACAACGTCCATCACCGAAGACGCTCGGCCTTGCCGCCCGCTTTCTACTTCTCGTCCAGCTAAGATTCTCTCTCTCTCTCTCTCTCATTTAACTTATTTAACTTATTTCTCTGTTCTCTTTTTTTTTTTGCGGGTTTCTCTTCAATGTTTGGAAGCTCTCCCTCTCATTGGTTTTTTTTTTTCATATTTCATTTTTTTTTCTTTCTTTTTCTTTTTTCTTCTTTCTTTTCTTTTATCTTCTTTCTTTTCTTTTTCTTCTTTCTTTCATTTCGAGGTTTTTGTTTTATTTTTTTTTTACTTGGCTTTGATTTCTGTTTGTTTTAGTCGAATGCGTAGATTTATCAATAAGTCCGTAGCCTAATATTGAAAATAGCTGTTTTTATATAAGAATCATATATTTTTCTATATGATCATAGTCCTTGACAATGCACTTCATTCATTGCTGAATTATTTAATTAACACTTACATTTCATCCTACTGAATTATTGACTCTAGCACATATAAACCCACACACAAACATCTATCTATCTATCTATCTATCTATCTATCTATCTCTCTCTCTCTCTCTATATATATATATATATAAATATATATATTCATACATGTTTCATTAAATAATATAGACAAGTGTTGTCTGTTTATTTTTTGTAAATTCTTTTCATAACGTCTGATAGGCTTAATAACATTATCATTAAACGAAGAAAGAAAATCACAAAATTGATACATATTTTTAATCCAAACTAAGCTTTCGGTTTACATAAGCCATTATCAAAGACGACAATTACTATACAATATATTAAGCAATACACAGACAAGAATGTAATGACGGTATGTTTCTGTTTACAAGGATGATTTCCAAGCAACGATAAACACGTGCATATAAGACGCTGGAAGCTAAATCGCACCGCAGCTCATGAGGTCACACATGACCACGTGAGAGTGAAAACCAGAAGTAATATTTATGGGAAGCCGTTGGTATAAACCAATGGCTTCTGTTATCAATTATAGACATTTAATGATATTTGTGGGGGATATCATAGTTTATTTTGTTTAAGTTAGGTTTCAACTGTTTTAAGTTTTTAACATATTTTAAAATGAAACATATATGAATGAAAAAATCCTGCATAAATACACACAATATATATATACATGCATATGACTGGTTTAAAAGTCTAAATTTAAATTTCACGATGTAAACGTCAGTTTTGAATTGTTTTGCATATACTTTTTAAAAACATTTGGACATTTCTTAACTTAGTTACTTCCCCTGACGTTTACACCATGAACATTAAATCGTATAGTACATAAACTTAGCGTTTTTACCTTCACAGTTTAAAAAAAATAATATGAACACAACGATTTTTTTAACAACCCCCAGATGATGACATTGTTCTAATGTCGAAAATACTCGGAATAAATGAATATATTAATTATGTTAGTTTCCTTTAATAAGGATACTAAGAAGTTTCTCCATGACTATATATATATATATATATATATATATATATAGTCAGCATATTTTCATTGAAGCATATTTGGTTAAATAATTTAGAAGTATAATGTTTACTTATTTTGTTTTAATCCTTTCAAGTCCACGAATTAATTTCTTGTTAGCTGTAGAAAATTGATTAAGAAAAATGTTTTAAAAAATAATTGTCGGACTTTGTCCAGTTCATAATGTGTGACGTCATTTGTTTACATTTGGACACGCATTGAGCAGATATGAATCTAATTGAAAGAATCATGGAAGATTATATTTTAAAAACAGTAAAATCGACCTTGCTAACCGAACGTTCCTTTGTGGCACAATCGGTAAAAGCACGTCAGGCTATATGACGGTTCCGTATAGGATACAGGTTCGATTCCTGCCGGAGGACAAATTTTTTTCCGTGAAAATTTCTCGGACATTCGGGTCGGTAAATGTTGTTAATACTGTTTATTATAAAAAGACCATTTACTTAAATATTTGTATCTATAAAAGAAAAAGAATGTATAAACATAAAACTGTTTTAAAAAGTAATTGTCGGACTTTGTCCATTCCATAATATATATATATATATATATATATATATATATATATATATATATAATCAAGTTAAATACAAGCAAGGCAATAAAGCCACTAAGACACAAGGGAAAACAGAAACTTTACTTTACATCTTTCCCACGTAAATATGGTGGTTTTATTTCCTTCCTTTTTTCCCGATAAAACCGGGGTTTGCTTCGGGACTTCTATTTCTTTTGTTTTTATTCATTTAATTTTCGGGGTTATATATATATATATATATATATATATATATATATATATATATATATATATATATATTACGGCATATCAACCATAATGAGTTACATTTAATGCCATCAAGATTTTTATTGCTGGTAGTATTTTTTTGCAAAAAGTATATTTGGTAATATATTTACCAAAAATGTGTTGCTAGTAATAAATTTTTTTCCAAAATTTTTTGCTGGTATTAAAAACTAATTTTACATGTTTCGACCTCAGTTCGGAGTCTAACCACCTGCCGACTGTTGGGACTCCAGCAGGTGCCATCACCCCGTGTCAGGGTAAACCTTGAAACACCAGCAACCAAGAGGCGATTCCACGCTCCTCAGAATCTCCTGATCTGATGCCCTACAGTCGGATGCTTATGTCGGATGTTTATCGTCTTACCCAGGACGCGGATGTAGTGTATCGTCATACCCAGGGCGGGGTAGTAGGTATAAATCAGGGAGTTGATCTAGGACTCTGTACAATGTGTTTTTAGATGGTGATGGTATCGGGAACGGAATATCTTTTTTGCTTTGTAGGTATGTGTCACTGAAAACTTTTAGATCCACCATGATTTCAAAGGTCCTTCCCCTGTTCAGGTCGTCGTCGGAAGAACTCAATATCTGACCGTATTGGGTTAAGTAGACAGCTAAGTGCTCTCCTACGACAATGGGCAGGAATCTCAAAGACTGTTATACTGGTCCTTCGCCTGCTTTCATATTTCGTTCTTAGGATGAGATCTTTAGTTATAAGGTCCCGACTGGTTGCCCCTACATAGTCTTCAGGCGTTGGTAGCAGCATGTCCCACGGGAAATAACCCGTGGCTCTGATTATTCTTTAGGGCTCAAATCCCAGGAACCTCAACGACTTAATGACGGTGTGTTTTGTGGAGGGATAAATTTTACGCGAACGCTTGTCGATCACGAAGACTGACACAATTCCTTTTTTCAGTTTTCTTCAATTCTTGGAGATCCATCAAAAGCCTATCCTGTTTTATCAGATGTGTGCAACATTTAGCTCTCCCAAAAATCTCTACGATGTTTATTATGCATTTCGGTGGGGACTTTGAGTTGGACGGCGATTCCCCGATCGCTGCACTGTCAATATTCTGATTAGCTCTTTTCTTTATTTCATGGTCATTTTCAGCTACCGTTAGTTGGTTGTCATTATTGGTCTCATTTTTATTTTGGCTATTTTGGACCACCATACATTAGTTGCTTTTACTGGTTTCATTATTCTTATTTCGGCTATTTTGGGCCACCCTACTTTTATTTTCTGAATTTCTCATTTGGCCGTTTTTGGCAACCATACATTTGCCAGCGGGTTGATTTTTAGATTGTACAATTTTGTCGGGTGTGTCAGACTCCCTAAATAGATTTTTTTACAAGCCGACCTTTGTCGGCCATGATGGGTTATTCTTGAATCAGCGGGTGTTTTTTTTTTTTTAATCCAGTCAAGCATGTTTTCCTCTATAAAGAAACTAAAGACAAAACGGAAGAAAACGGGAAACAAACTTTAACCATAACTTTAGCCAATACAATAGAAAAACTTATTAAATTTTCCTTCAAAAGAAAAAAAAACTAACTGAAAATAAATTAATAAAGAAAATAGAAATAAAGTGAAAATAAAAAAAGTGGTCGCAAAGAAATAAAAAGAAATGATGCCGATAAAAATGTAAAAAAGCAATTCCAACACAAAAAAAAAACAAACGAAATGCAAAGACTAGGTGAAGAAATTTGAAGAATACTTGAAATAAGAAGAGAATAAAATAAAACTCAAGATCAGCTGAAGAGTTACAGGAAGCCAATAAAATCAGAAAAAATTCTAAATCAAAATAAATACAAATTTCGTAATAAATAAATTCGAAAATTAAAATAAATATAAACGCTGATGAGAAAAATTAAAATAAGCAGAAAACAGTGAAAAAGAAGTACACAAAAAATGCCCGCCCGAGTGCAAAAAATTATAACAAAAATTAAAAGAAACAAAAAACACTAAATAAAATAAAATTTGTTACTGAGGATAGTATGTGATCCACACCAGGTGGCCCGTATTTGTGGCATGGTCCCAAAATAAATTCGGTTTGCTAAATGACATTTATTTGCGACATTATTTTCTTTCTTTTTTCGTTTTCTTTGTTCGTTCTTTTTGTTTTCCTTTGTTTTTTTTTCTTTTCTTTTTGCCATTTTTATTTCCTTCTTTTTTTTTTATTCTTTTATGGCGCTTTTTGTATTAATTTCATTCTTTCACTTTTTCTGCTTTGATTTCTTTATTTCTTTCTTATTCTCTCTCTCTCTCTCTCTCTCTCTCTCTCTCTCTCTCTCTCTCTCTCTTGTCAATTTTGTTTTCCCTTATGCTTTCTATTCCTTTACTTTCTTGGGCTTTCGGCTGATTCTCGTTGAAACAACGGCTCCCGTACGATCACCGAAGTTAAGCAGCGTCGAACCTGGTTAGTACGTAGATGGGTGACTGTTTGGAAATACCAGGTGCTTTATGCTTGGATGTATAAATGGCGTAATGGATAATGGCTCGGGATTCTTAATCGGAGAGCCGAGTTCGAAATCCAGTTGGATTCGTTATTTTCGTTTACGTGCAAATACCTTTGGGAAAAGTCTGGATTCACACTTCTCCACAAACTATGGGTTAATTAGTAAAACTTGTATCACTATTAACATATCTAAAAATAGACTGTGAATGAAGTTCAAGACAACTCAGCGATGTTGTCATCCCATTAATATACCTCTTCTTAACTTGTTGGAAGGCAATACAAAGAGAGTTGGATCTTATGACGTGTCCACACCATTTCAATTAACTCTTCTTGACGATGTGTATCAAATCTTCGAATGGGTTTGCTTCTTGCCTGATGTTGTCTCGAACTGCAACATTGACATTGAACCTCTGGAAACATGTGACAGAGCATTGTCCTCAAGCAGAATTGAACTTCTGCAGTGACATCCTGATAACATGTGGCAGAGCATTGTCCTGAATTGAACTTCTGCAGTGACATCCTAACAACATGTGGCCGAGAATTGTCATGAAGTGGAAATGAACATCTGCAGTGATATCCTGACAACATGTAGCCGAGCATTGTCATGAAGCGGAATTGAACTTCTGCTTTGACACCCTGGCAACTTATTGCTAGCATTTTCATGAAGCAGAACTGAACTTCTGCCGTGACATGCTGACAACATGTGGCAGGGCATTGTCCTCAAGCAGAATTGAACTTGTCGTCTGCATTTTGCTTAAAAGAATGCTCATTTCATCTCTTTCCCCGTAGTGAACTTCGGCAATGATGTTCTGTTTAGATTCCAGAAAGCTGTCATGGATGTCGTAATCCGTCCGTTCATTCGATATCATTACCACTGTCGTGGTGATTCTGCTATTTATCTTGAGATTTTGGAGAGGATCCCAAGAAGAATCTGCAACATTATCGGTCCCGATCTGGTATCTCAATTTCAGTCAATTTCCATGAAGTTCTAATGAGCTTTACTATTTGGTCCCTCGAATTTATGAATTTAAGCATAGTACTAGACTAGTTGCTTTCAACGCGTGACATGCTTAATGTATATGTCAGAACAGGGTCTGGAAGAAATAACAAAAATTCACAGCTCATTGAGAGCTACAAGGGTCAGGAGGAAATGACGAGCCATGATCGATTACGTCCTGAAGATTCACGGAACATATAAGAAGAAGACTAGATAAGTGTTTAGGTTTTATTATCCTACTGCCGAAAAAAATACCAACATATAAACGTCCATCTTATTCTAATGATTTCTTCTCTTGCTCTTCTCGCTGGTAGATCTCCCTTCCTGTTTTGTTGCTTCCTTTTCAACTACACGCTACAAAAATTTAAATGCAGCATCAATCGTCTTCTTGAATCCTGTTCTTTTTATTGCCTTTTCTCCTCAGTAAAGTTTTCTTGGTTACCTTCATTCTGTTGCCTTTCAATCTCAGTAAACCCTTGCACCTTGCACTGGGTGACAACATTTCAAAATATATTCAGATGATCTCCATACTCTAGTTCCAGGCTTTTACAGCTCAAGACATGCTGTGGTAATTCCGCGAATTCGAAACATATCTATTTACTCGGTTTTCCAAATGTATACGGAAGTTTCCACTCAGTTTTTTCCCGCAAGAGCTGCTACTTTTCAGAAGAGATTCCAGCATTTGTGGTCTCCTGAATATTACAATCTTAAACTGTTCAAGTCAATTGTCAATCTTTATCTCACCCCTCCCCCTTATCGTCATCATTTTCTCTTCCTACCAACACCATTTTTATTCGTATCACACAGCCAAATTCTCAAAACCATTTTTGACAGTAACCGTCTATAATGAGTAGTTTTCAAGGCCTATGTTGATTTTTTTTAAGCATTCCACCCAAGCAAGGCAGGAAGCCACCAGCACGCAAGGGGTTACAGAAAGTTGGAGCGTGAGCAAATAGTAGTGATAGAGGAAAAGATGAAGAGAAGGATAGGGGATAGATCAAGACATCTGGAGACGTTGATTGACATTACATTTGAATAGTTGGAGATTATAGCTATCAGGAAAACAAGAAATGGGGAGGGAGTTCCACAGGCGAGAAGTGCGATACATGAAGCTATTGGAGTAGAAGAGAGGGCTACATTTAACAGTTTCGACAGTGAAAGGGCGAAAGCGAGATGCCAGCCTAGTTCAACGCTTAAATTCATGAAGTCTGGGAACCAGCGAAAGCAGATCATTGGAGCAGTTACCGTGAAAGAATTTGTATTTTTCTAATATTAAAAATAATCGGTTTAAACCTGGTTTGTCAGTATAATAAAACCGAACACCCTATGAGACAGGTGGTCAAAATATTGGAGCCTATATCTGTATATTTCAGGGAGAGACAAGATGATCTTTTTGAAATCAAAGATCGGATTGTTGCGTGCACTGGACACCGAGTATCTTTCTGTACGCCTGCGAATCATGGAACTGAAGAGGGCAGCAAAGAACGGCCGAATAATCAAAGCAGTAGAAATCGGCTGCTGCAGAAGCATCTCCGACGTAGACCGTATCACAAATAACGCAGTGGGAGAAATCATCAGTGAAGAAGCTTGGCCCATTGGAAGACCTTTTAACCACGCTCAAGTCAGAGAATGTTGGGAAGGGATGGACATATCAAATGAGCCGAAGATCTTCCCATTGCTGACCTACAAGTACGACCTTGAGGAATAGAAGGCGCAGGCAGATAGAGGGACATCGACGGGCAGATATGGTCACTGAGTGTGCTAGAAGATTCATTCACAGATGTAGATATATGTAGAATACTTGTCACGAGCTCAAATACGCAAAGACCCTATCTCTCGGTTGTTGTGAATGATGATTATAGTAATAACTAGCAGTAGAGCCCGGCGTTGCCCGGGGATGTAACAGTAAGAGATAGATCAAGTATCGACCATCATAAAGACTGAAAAATAAAATTGACAAAGATTATTGTTGATGGACACGCATGTCTTAATTAGTTTTTTTTTGTTCTTTTTTTTTTTACGAATTGGTCAAACCCAAACTCAAACAAAAACATTGTTTTCAATCGTTATGAGTCTCCCAACTGAATAGAATTTTATTATAAATAATTGTCTTGTAAATGGAATTTTTAAAGCATTCTGAATGTTAAAAATAAAGAAAAAAGTGTGCAAGAGAATAAGAAACACTACCTGCCAAAAAAAAAGTTAAGTTCTGTTTTATCGACTGAAAAATATAGGAAATCCGCTCCCATATTTAAAGGACCCCCCACCCACACACACATATACAACCCGATGTGAGTTGTCCCCCTTCCATTTTCACGATGTCTCTTAATCGTGTTTTCAAATTGATTTTGTGCAAAAACAATTATATTTTTCCCATTTTTGGCGCTGTTAGAACCACCACAAGGTAATTTTATGTAGTCCTGTGAAGCTTTGTTGAAATTGGTTGAAAAATGTAGGAAATCCGATCCAATATATAAACGTTACAGACACACACACACACACACACACAATCTGCGTTTTACAATAAGTAAGATATTAATAATACAATCCATAATAGTGATGAATTCTGTCAGACAGAATATCACTATAGGAATATCGTTGTCATGGATAGACAAGCTTTTTTGTCGATGGTAGCTGTTATAGAGTTTGTAGGTAAGAATCAAGGACGTCTTCCCAAGTGCGAAAAATATGATGTGCATGGACCAGAAGAGGTGGGAAGACGTTGCCAACGATCGCTCACGCTGGAAACGGGATTTACATCGAGGTCTGGAGCTAGGGCAGAAGAAACGGAGGCTTGCCCCCGGGATAAGCGTGTTCGAAGGGAAGAAAACGACATCGAAGTAGTTAAAATCGGGACAGTCACTCCTCTGGGGGTCTGTAGAGCTGTAACTGAATCTGATGCTATCAGTAGCTAAGTAACATTTTGGGCACAGATCCATGGTCTCTCGAGAACAACGGATGGCACACATAAAGTAGGATTATGTGTTCGATTTTCTTATTAATATTTGTGGAATTTTGTATTATGTATTTTTCTCTGTAGATTTTGTAGGCTTTGTGTTTAGCATTGCGCAGGAAATAATTCGGGTACTGGAGGAATTTGTAGGTGTTTTGGATATATTTCTATCCTTCAGGAAGGTATTAGTTTTGCAGATTCTAAGGACTCTTAAATAAAAGTCTATGATTGTTGTGGTGGGAGGAAAAGAATTATCTCTCTATTATTTCTTGGTTTTTAATGAACCTTTCGTTAAATAAGCTAGAGTAATTTAATTTGAATTTCTATCCCCACTTATCTTTGGAGATACCAAGGCATTTTCTTCGTTTGTCTTTTGGTCATTCTAACCTCAGGAAGTCAAAAAGAGCATACGTTACCCGGCGAAACACGTTGTTAATAAATTCTCTATATTTGCGTCATCATCTTCACTATGGTTTCGGATACAGCTATAAATCCTACAACCACATATAAGAATATGAATCTAAAATTGTTAGCACATGTTTCACAGAAGCTCTTATAAAAGAGCGGGAAGGCGTGGCCGGGGGTCGGGTTGAGTATTAAATTTGTTTATCTTCATCCGGCAGAGATCACAACTTCGAGGCACTCCGTGAGAGTCGAACTGACTACAGTGGGCCTTTCTCTCGACAGAAGTCTCTCGTGTTATTTTCGTTCGCGAACGCTACCAAAAAGTGATTCTTTGATAGTATTTCTTCTTCTTCTTCTTCTTCTTCTTCTTTTCATCATCATCAGTTTGTTATTCGTCTCCTTTACCTGTGTTCTTCATTAGACAACGGGGTACCAGCAATCCAGGTGTGATTCCTTGATACTAAAGAAACTTTTTTTTTTAAATGAATAAAAACCGAGGCAGCTACGATCAAAGAGTCCACGCCGTTCAAGTGAAAATATTTCCCTTGAAAAATACAGATAAAAAGATTTTTGGCGCGAGAAAAATCCGAATTGATTATAACCGGAAAAGATTCGTATCCAGGAGGTTTCGTTAGAACTCTACCGCCC